TGTATGTTCCAATTAATTCCTAAGCAAACAGAAGCTAATCCAACTTCTGTATGTTACAAAGGTAAACATCATACTGGAAAAAATTACATTTGTTTAGATTCAAACTCCAGAGAATTATGAATAACCGGGTGCCAAAATTTAGAAATCATTCCAGTTAATTCACTATTTCTTTTTTTTCTTTTTACAGTAAAGTTGTTAATAAACTGCAGAGATTTGAGTCATTAGGTTCAAAAATAGACAGAGGAAGATAACCTCCTGACCCTTCTAATCTCTCTATTTGGTTTTGCTGTTTGGTTTACGTTCAGCAACTATAGGTAGTCCTTGATTTACCACCATTTGTTTAGCCACCCGTTGGAAAGTATAACAGCACTGAAATCAATGACTTACAGATTAACAGAGTTGGAAGGGACCTTGTAGGTCATCTAGTCCAACCCCCTGCCCAAGCGGGAGACCCTACACCATTTCTGAAAAATGAATCTCTTCTTGAAAGTCTCAAGGGATGAAGCTCCCACAACTTCCAAAGGAAACTTCTGTTCCGTGGGTTGATTGTTCTCACTATCAGAAAATTCATCCTTATTTCCAGGTTGAATCTCTCTCCTTGTTCAGTTTCCATCCATTATTCCTTGTTTGGCCTTTGGGTGCTTTGGAAAATACCTTGACACACCCCCACCTCCCGTGGCAGCCCCTTGTCGAGCTGGACACTCACCCTGCCCCGCCAGCCCCCCCGAGGTCAAACACAACCCTGATGCGGTCCTCAATGAAATTGAATTTGACACCCCTGATATAGCAACTTCAACTGTGAGAAATATAGGTAGTCCTTGACTTACAACAGCGACCGTTCAAAGTTTTAACGGTACTGAAAGAAGTGACCTAGTTGATCTTCTTTCTCATTTATGACCACTGCAGCTTTCCCATGGTCACATGATCAAAAGTCAGACGCTTGGCAAACCGACTCACATTTACGATGGCTGCACTGTCCTGGGGGGGGGTCACGTGATCAGGTTTTGTGACCTTCTGACCAGCAAAATCAATGGGGAAGCCAGATTCACTTAACAACCATGTTACTAACTTAACAACTTCAGCAAGTCACTTAACAAACATGGCAAGGAAGGTCATAAAATGGGGCAAAATTCACTTAACAAATGTCTCACTTAGCAATACAAATTTTGGGCTCCATTGTAGCTATAAGCCAGGGGTGTCAAACTCGCCCATGGGCCGCAACTGACCTGCGCGGTACTTAGATCTGGCCCTGGGGGCTGCTCTGGGAACAGCGGAGGACCTGGCCTGCAGCGCTGCACTAGTTTCTGCCAGTGAAAACGGAGCTCGGGAAGGCCGCATAGGGCCCTTTTCACTGGCAGAGCGCTCGGGCCACCACAGGCTCCCCCGACACGAGTGACGTCACATATCCAGCCCGGCCACACCCATCCTGGCCCCCTGAAGTCAACACAACCCTGATGGGGCCATCAATGAAATCAAATTTGACACCCCTGTCGTAAGCCAAGGACTACCTGTAGTGTTAAAAAAAAGGAAGTTACGTGGAACTGTTGAAGTGAAGGCAAGATCTGGGAGAACAAAAAATATCTCTGCTGGAGGTATCAATACCCAGCCAGATTTGCTGAAATGACCTGCTGAAAATTTTAGCTAACCATGGAGCTGCTGTCCACAGGACAAATCTTATACAACAGGGATCTGCATGGGATAGCTGCCAGAAGAGAAATTTCTCTAATCTCAACACAAGAAGCCACAATCCAAAGTATGTGAAATAAAAATTTAATAACGCTGAAATATTTTAGAACAAGGCATTTGAAACTGATTAAAATAAAAATTAAACTCTTCAGCCGTAATCACACAAGAGGAGAAAAAGAAGGCTGAAGGCATCTTTGCCAATCATTAAATATGGGTTTGGGATCCATGTTAATGCCAGTGACACAGAAGATACTGTACAGTGGAAGGGAGAATTGATTCAACTAAATATCAACAAAACTTGGAAGTTTCTTCAAGAAACAGAAGTTGAAAAAAGTTGGATATTTCAGCAATCTATCTCCAAAACAATCTTGAATCATTTATTTATATGAAAGAAAAACAAAAGTTTTGGAATGGCCTCTACTGTCCCGAAACCTGAACCTTATTAAAAACTCTGTGTGGATAAATAAAACATGCAGCATGTGCAAAGAAATCTAAGAATATTTCTAAGCTAAAGGAGTTCTACAAACAAGAAAGGGGAGAAAAATTCCAAAAAGAACAGATAGAATTTTAATTGGCTATAGGAACATTTGAAAGTTGTTATTTCTGACAAAGAATGTGTTACACAGCTTAATCCAAGTTTCTATACCTAGTGTATTCATTATTTTCATTATGAAGCTGTTTACAACAGCACAAAGCTGTATTTAATTTTGCAGAAAGGTGTCATGTCTTGTATCATGCAGAGTTTGTGTCAGCTTCTGTTCCCTTGTAGATTAATGACAACATACAATTTGACTAGTGTGCTATTAAAACCCTCTGGTGTGGATTTTAAGGCAGAAATCTTCTCCTTCTCAAGTACACAATCTTTACCACCATCTTGCAAAATGGGATTCCTTTTTAAGTTGTGAGTTTACACAGTTAATAATGGGATCTTATTTCTCTGTATCTGAAAAAAAAAAAACACATCAAAGTTTGCTATCCAGAGGAAGGCACAAAACAGCAAGTGGCTTGGAAAACGGAGTCAATTATCTATTGCGTCCCACGTATTCTAATATGCAAATTACGAATGATTAGAAATTCTAATACTAATACACACAGTACTGTACGTATGGTTTGCAAACCATGGTCTGTGGTTCTGCATTGTATGAGCAGGGTGCAAACGTGTGGGGCTTTCTCACAAAGCTTTGAAGCCTTCCAAAGCCTCACGAGAAAGCCATACGTGATTTGAACAAGGCCACGCATGACTTTGGAAAGATCTGGTGCAGCCAGCATCTACCTTGCAAACTGTCAGGCTAAGCCAGGCCAGGCCAGCCTGCAGAAGAGGTAGAACACAGACTCATAGGGCTGGAAGGGACCTTAGAAGAGATCTTCTAAGAGCCATGGTGGCACAGTGGTTAGAATGCAGTTGTCAGGATTCCGAGGGATGCCCTAATGAAACCATGAGCCTTGAGCCAAGTTTCAAAAGAAATCCAGTTATTTATTAGGCGAAAAATATCACCACATACCCAAATGAAATCAGCTCTGCCTGACATAATTTACGGCCCATCTATGACCCTGTTTCCCTCCTCCCCACAGGGTGTGTCATAAATCACATTCTCCAATGGAGCACTTTTGCAGGCTGTGGAGATTACACCTCTCCCTCCTGGTAACCTGGGATACAGCCTTGAAGAAGGTGTGCGTGGAATGTGCTTCTGACTGTGGCTGCCATTCTTCTCCATCAGTTTCCTTCCCCTCCTGCCTATGGCAACTCGGGAGCAGGCAGGAATGCTTTACAAGTTGACAGCAGTATTGCAGGCTAATTCTGCCGACTGCCATTAGTTCGATTCTCACTGGCTCAAAGTTGACTCAGCCTTCATTCTACTCAGGTCAGTAAAATGAGGAGCCAGATTGTTGGGACAATATGATGACTTTGTAAACCACTTAAAGAGGGCTGTAAAGACCTATGAAGCAGTATACAAATTTAAGTGGTGTTACTATTGCTATTCCAATCCAATCCCCTGCCCAAGAGGCAGGTCCTTGTCTTACCAAGGGCTTGGATTGGGGTGAGTCCTTGCCTAAAACAGGTGGGATTCAGTTAATGGTGGCTTCCAGGATTGTCACTGCTAAGCAATGCAGTCATGCCACATTGTACTTTGCAGCTATATCGCTTTGCAACAGAAATTATGGTCTTGATAACCACTATAACTCGAGAAATACCGGTCATTTATTCGTATTTGGGGAAAGGCACTTTGCAAAGCTATCAAAAAAGATAACATAGGAAGAGAATTATTTTGCTCTGGAAGAAAGCATCTTATTTCTGATAAGACATTTTTCAAGAAGCAAAGATTGTATGTAATATTTGGATTTGAATTAAAGCAGCACTTTTCAATACCTTCGCAGCTTTAAGATGTGTTGCTGGAGAATTCTGGGAGTTGGTCCATGCTTTATATCAGGGGTCCTCAAACTTTTTAAACAGGGGCCAATTCACGGGTGGGCATAGCCAGTTTTTTAACAGTCCATGAAAACAATGCACACAAATTAAATGGTGAGGGCCAGCAGGTGGGCAGGGCAGCCTCGTGGTCTTGTGCGGCCCAGATTAATGGCTTCAGTGGGCCATATGGGGCCCACGGGCTGTAGTTTGAGGACTGTAGTTTGAGGCCTCCAAGAATTCTTCCTGACATCTTTTACTGCTTGACTCTTGCTGGCTGCCATGCAAATGGGGGGGGAGGGATAATTGGGTCTTGTGGAGGGGGAAGAAGGTGCTGGAGGTCGAAGTTGTGTGCACTGTAAAAGATGGGACACTTTCCTGCTTTCTGTGCAACTGCAGCCACTTATCTTTTCCAGGCCAAGGTCAACCATCTTGGCATACCAGATGTGTGAGACGCCACCTGAAGATGTAACCCACATGACATTATACCAGAGGTGGCATTCAGCAGGTTCTGACCAGTTCTGGAGAACCGGTTAGCAGAAAGTTTGAGTAGTTCGGAGAACAGGCAAACACCACCTCTGACTAGAGATTTTACAGTCTCCTCCCCCTGCCACGCCCACCAAGCCACGCCCACAGAACCAGTAATAAAAAAAAACCTGAATCCCACCACTGCATTATACACACCTCAGATTGGATGTCCCGTTTGAACTGTTGGGGGAAGGGACTTGGGATAACTTTCAATACGTAATTTCCACGCCTATTTGCCTCAGATCTTGCTTTCCTTTCGTTGCGATCACTTCAAATCCAGTAAAAGTACTTTTCTCTATTTTAATGGAGTCTTTAAGGGCTTTCTTTCTTGGATTTTGAATGGAGGCACAGCTGACACTTTGCTTTATATATAAAGACTTACCTAGCCGAAGTTCCCCAAAGTTGCCGCATCCAATCTTCTTCCCAACGCGAAAATTCGGCCCCACCATTAAGACTCCGGAGTTGGTCCCTGCTGTCCGGCTCCCATGAGTGCTTCGGCTTCCACCCGTTTTAGACATTCTTCTACTCTCCTCGTTTTCCCCTTTCCCTCCTCTCTTATCAAAATCCATAAGTTTGTGATACCCTGGCCTCTCCACGGTTACACCACTGCCATACAAATCCCAACACGGCCAAAACTTGAGGAGTGGCTGGGAGGGGGGGGGTCGGGGGAGGGGAGGGGGAAGGGGAGAAAAGACGGAGGAGGAATTAAAAAAGCAGGGCTCTTCTTGGTTAATAAACCATCGCGGATGCCGGAGATGTAGGAGGGGAGGGTGTGAGAGGAGACGTCTCCACCCACATGTGCTGGGCTAGTGGAACGGCTGTCCTCTGGCCTGGTCCGCCAGGACTCCAGTCAGCAGCACCTCCTGTCGGATGCTCCTTGGTGAAGACGACATGGCGCAAAAGCAGACTTTCCAGGGCGATTCTTCGTTTTCAAGCTGTGGGGAAAGTGCAGAGGAAGAAAACGTGGTCAGGTTATTGCACGTGGCAAACCCACTTCAACTCCCTTTTAAAAAAAAGCAAAGGGGGAGGGGAGGGTAAATAAACATTCAGGTTAGAAACTCTTTCAGGAAACGGATGGGGGGTTTTTTTAAGGAAAAAAAATCTGTAAGATTGCAGAATGTTGTGGAATTTGGATGCTCTCACCTCTGAAATCTCAGCAAAATCATAAAACTGTGGCCATGTCATGGGGGGGGGGGATTCTCTGGAGAAGGCAATTATGTTTGGAAGAGTTAGTGGTAAAAGGAAACCAGGCCATCAAATATGGTGGCTGGACACCATCAAAGATGACACCAGCCAGATAATAGAAAATAGAATAGAAAACCTCAAAGAAGCAGTGTAAGATTGAAAGATGTGGAGAATCCTGGCCCATAGAATTGCCAAGAGTTGGACACTACTATCAGTTCTAGAGATTTCTACAATTGGTAGAAAATCAAGTAAAACAGGACACTGTCAAATTAACTGGACATTCCATTGTTCTTTAAAGTAATTACTTATTTAGCTTCTCCTGATCATCATCATCACCCTGAAATCTCACAAAACTGAACACTCACCTGAAATCTCACAATTTTGTGCAATAATACTGAAATCTCATATCAGAGTTTTTAAATTGTTTTTTTAAAAAAAATTCCGCAAACATTATTAAAGTATATAACAGTTTGGTGCAGTGGTGAAGGTCTAGAAACCAGGTGATAGTGAATTCTAGACCTGCCTTAGGTGTGAAAAACCGGCTGGGTGACTCTCAGGGGACAGCCGCTTTCTCTCTCAGACCTCTCTCTTTACAAGGTGGTTGTTGTGGGGAAAATAGGAGGAAGGAGGAGTATTAGGTATGTTTGCCACTTTGAATTACTTGGAAAAAAAAATAAAGATAGAATAAAAATCTACTAAATAAATCAATAAAGTGTGGCAGGTACCCTGGAGGCTCCAGATATTATACTGCCAGCTCTCAAATAAACAGAAATGAATTTCTAAGGAATAGTCACATTCTATCAGTTCTAGAGATTGCTATAATTGGTAGAAAATCATTAGTTTAAGTAAAACAGGACACTGTCAAATTAACTGGACATTCTGTTGTTCTTTAAAGTAATTACTTATTTAGCTTCTCCTGATTAGTTGATTAATTAGTTAGACCCTGGTTTTAAGGAAGTTCCACAGACATCCAGCATGGTGGCTGTCTCACCTCATATTTTAGTTTTTCTGAGTGCAAGAGAAATAGTAAAATATATTCCTCACTTATCCTTTCCTCAGTGTCCCTGCCCACCTCAGGATGTCCTAATCTGTAAAGAGTGGCACCATGGTCAGTAAGTGAAGCACATGTTTGTTAACTGAACCATACGGCTGTTAACAAATTCAGCTTTCCAAATGGGCAGACTTAGCTGGAAATCAGAAATTTTTTTTTTTACAAATCATGGTCACAAGACACTGCAACCAGACATAAATGCAAGCCAGCCACTGTCATTGGTGACAGGAAGGGCATCTGGCCATTAAAACACTCAGGTCCATTCAGTTGCCAAGACTCCACCCCGCAAGGGATTATGGAGTTGTTAAAAGAAGCTGATGTCATAACTTTGAACTCTTGTCAACTATGAACAGTCATAAACTGAGGATTTACTTCTATCTATAAATAATTCTGCCTCCCCTCCCTACTTTCCCAGCATCATCCAGATATGTTTGGCCCTATTACCTGCTGCAACATGCGAGTTGAGATTCAAGCACATCTGGAGTTGAGGAAAGCTGCTACATATTTCCCTGAGATGCGAGTATAATGCATTGTTTAGGTTTTCAACCTGAACTGTTTGGGCTTTCAATCTGAATTGTTTAGGCTTTCAATCTTGTTTGGGTTTTCATACTTCTATGAAAAATCATTACAGTTTAAAATTAAAATTCATATGACATGAAGAAAGGAGGGATTGAGGCTGGATTCTTCTACTGTACAATTTAAGAACGTGGTTATGCTGGTTGAAACAGAACAGTGGTAACCCAATGAAAGAGGGTAACATTAGGCACAGGACAAACAAGAACCAAAATGGAAATCTTTTTTACACACCCTGCAATTATCTCCGGGAACTTGCAAACTTGTTTAGAAAGTGTTTCCTTTTTCTTCCTTCCATAGCCACTTCCCCAGCATCTTCAGTTTTTCAATATTTACATTACAATATTTACAATACTTTTCTTTTCTTTCTTTTTCTTTTCTTTTATAGAGTATTTGCACCAAGACAAATTCCTTGCGTTCCAACTACACATGGCCAATAAAGAATTCTATTCTATTCTATTCCAGTCTAAATACTTGTGTCTTATAACATCAGGTAAATAAAATGATCAAATCTGTGAGATAAGCTGGATTCCTGGTGTCTTCTTGGAAACTATAAGGAAGCAGTTGTGATTTCTTCTTCCAGGGTGTGTGTGCGTGTGTGTTTTTCCCCCTAATTTCCTAGTCAAGCTTGTGTCCCCATCGAAGTAGTGGCCAAACCTGGTTCTGCTTAGTTTCCCAACCCATGCATGATTAACCAAGTATGACCACCTGTTGAAGCATTAAGTGTGCAACCACAAAACATTTTTTAAAAATATTAAATAATTCATGAAGAATATATTACCATTAGCTTATGGAAATGTCCTATTTCAAAGAAAACTAGCTTTGTGTTTGAGACACCAGGAATCAGGAAAAGTATTCATCAACAGAGTATAAGTAGCTCACGATTGAACCATGGGGTCCTTGGTGGTTGTTTTCTTGAAGATATTTCATTACTCGACTAGGTAACATCGACAATGGCTTATGAAATATCTGCAAGAAAACAACCAAGCTCAGAGCAATGTGATGCTGCCTAGGACAGTGACCTTTTCCTTGTTGCCTGCCAAAAGTGCTCGTGCACACGCATGTGTGTGTGTACCCGCACCAATAATGCAATGTGCACACGAACCCCCCACGCCGTGCCCCCCTTTGCATGCACGGCAGATACCCGACAATCAGCTGGCTGGCAGGGGGTGTGCGCGTATACGCAGTGGGTCTGTTCCAGGCAACCTCTCAAGTGCTGGCAGAAATGGCTCCGCGTGCCACTTCTGGCACGCTTACCATAGGCTCGCCATCATGGACCTAGGACTTCAGTGTTTCTCTTCAAATTAAAATGAGGTAAAATCCTGCATCCAGGACTCTTTGACATTTTTATTAGCAACTGGAATAAATAAAAATATGGAGGAAGCACTTATTACTCATGTGAAAGGGAGCAACATGGATGGAGCCATTAATATTCCAAAAGACTGAAATGTAATTCTGGTAACCTTGATAGGTTCTGAAAGTTAAGAGAATGAAATTTGACAGACTCTCAATGCTCATTCCTTCACTTCAGAAACAAAAGATACGGAGATGTAGGATAGGAGATTTATGAAGAAGATCTTGGAACAGGAGCTGGGTTCAAAATGATTATGAGTCAGCAATGTGATGCTGCCACAGGAAAATCCAATGCAACTTTCAGCTGCATCAATAAAACCAACGGCTTCCAAATCATAAGCAATGATAGTTGATAGTTGCTTGTTATTCTGTGATAACTGACCTCAACTCAAGCACTGCATTCTGTTCTGGGTACCACCACTTTAAGAAAGATTCAGACAAAGTGAAACAAGTTTAGAAAAGGCAATAAGAATGATCAAGAGACTATTAACGAAGTTTTATGAAGAGAAGTGATCTAGCAGTATAAGCAGTCTGACAATGAAACCAGTGACCCAGGGTGATAGTGGCCTCCCCTTCATTGGGTGTGCTCAAGCAGAAAGTAGTCAATCATCTGTCTGGGATGCTTTAATTTGGATTTCTGTGCTGAGCACAGGGTTGGATTCAATGACCCAAATGGAACTGGCCCCTCCAATTCCATCATTTTAGAAATCTCAGTGTTTCTTTGCTCCAAGCTAGGGTGGAGAACCCATGAGAACTCTCCAGACCTAGGAGTGTCCAACCTTGGCAACTTTAAGACTTGTGGACCATGTTGACTGGGGAATTCTGGGAGTTGAAATCCACAAGACTTAAAGTTGCCAAGATTGGACAATCCTGCTGCAGACTGTTGGATTCCATCTCTTATCATCCCTAGTCAACGTGGCCAAGGATGTTGGGAGTTGATTGCCAAACATCTAGACAGTTGGGAAGACTCACAGAACAGTTGGGCCACTGCTGGATTTAAAGATATACCACCTACATTTAGTTATTAAAGTAGAATTTTGCTGGGTGGAGAGAAACACACAACGATAGTCCAAGATCTCCTAAAAAGGAGTAAAGCTTTGCACAGCACAAAAAAGGAGTATTTTTTCCAGGGGTGGGATGCTACCGGTTCTGCCTGGTTCTAAAGAACCTGTAGCTCTGAAGAGCAGCAGACATCGAACAGGTTCTGTGTTTGCTGCTGTTTGGCCCACCCACCCACCCAGGCTCTTACCTGTCCTTTGCGTGGCACAGCTGAGGTTGAAAAAGCAGGAAAAAAGAGGCTTTTCAAATGCTGCGCACTTGCGCGTAGTGCTTTTCCGCTATTTGGGCAGCACAACTTAAGTTTTTTTTTACACCTGCGCACAGAGTAGCCACCGAACCAGTAGTAACACTGGTTGAATCCCACCCCTGATTTTTTTTCCCCTTGCATCCCACTACAGGATTAGTTTGTTCTACTGCAGAAAAAAAATACCTTTTTTCCATTTCTAGTTATGCTCTAAAAAGACAATAAAACAAAGCACACAATAGCTCCTTGGTCCAATAAGGGAAGAATATACTGACAACCAACTTAGCTCTGGCAAGGTCCTAAAACAGAATTGAAGGTGACAATGGCTGGAGTTGACATTTAGCCATAAGATGGCTTGCTTGTTTGTCTTAATATGCTATGGTTAAAAAAATTCTGCCTCAGCATGATATGCAAACATAAGGATCGCTCCTTGGGAGAGATTCTGTTCTGAAGTGCTGGGCAAGGATCAG